AGTTAGTTACTTTTTTAATTACAAATAAAAATACAATTCTCCCCTCGTATGAATACTAGATTGGAGTTTTACAAAGCCCCTTATCGGATTTGAACCGATGACTTACGCCTTACCATGGCGTTACTCTACCACTGAGTTGAGGCCTTTTTATTTAATTCCGGAATTATTCACTATGTGGATAAAATATCTATATGTACATATATTATAAACATAAGTATATATGCATAAGTACGTGCAGTAGATACATAGTGTCTAGTGACTCATTGTTGAATAATAAAATGGATTTACCTAGTAAGTCTAGGAGAAAATGCAATGAATTGTTTCAAGACCGACTCAATTGCTTTTTTTATTTTAGTGAATTGATCCCACCAGAACAAAATTCACTTGATTGATACATGTACATACACCTATCAATTCAACATAAAATTAAAGATATTTCATCGAATCATAGAATGAAGAGATTCTATTTGTCTACTGAACTAAATTCTTGGAGAAAAAGAATTTGCTGCTTAATCCCGCTTACTAGATTTCTCGTTTGTTAATTTCCTGTCTTGGTGGGAGGAGATAAGGATATCGTCTTAACAATGAATCAGATAAAAGTGAAAGAAATCGAATTTCACACCTTTTCCTTTCTGACGGACCAATCATTCCCTGAAAAAATCCTACTCTTCCTTATTATTTCGATTTTGGTTTTTTTTGTTTTTTAATTTACAAATTTCTAAATAAAAATATTTTTAATTTTTTTAATTTTTTTATAAAATATTAAAACCTTAAACTAAAATAATCGAAATAAATTCAATTGAAATAATTCAAAAAAAAAATACTACTACTAGATTTCTAATGGTGATTCTAATGAATAATTCATCAATGACGAATAAAAAATAATTCTATGCAAGTCTGAAGGGAAAGATCCCTCGGATAGAATCATTTGATTATATTGACAATTTCAAAAAACTGATCATACTATGATCATAGTATGATGTCCGTTGGTCAAGCAGGCCCCCATCGTCTAGTGGTTTAGGACATCTCTCTTTCAAGGAGGCAGCACGGGGATTGATTCCCCTGGGAGGTAGAGTACTACGAAAGGAAGTTGATCATGGATTACCAATAAGTCTAAAATTGATTCTTCCTGGGTCGATGCCCGAGCGGTTAATGGGGACGGACCTATAAATTCGTTGGCAATATGTCTACGCTGGTTCAAATCCAGCTCGGCCCAATAATTCACCCGTCCGCCATGAGATGATATAACCCCCTTTGTACTTCAGAAATACCCGATCCGGAGATAAAAAAAAATCAAATTTTCTGCTAGATCACTTCCTAGGTTGTAGTTCAATTGGTCAGAGCACCGCCCTGTCAAGGCGGAAGCTGCGGAGTTCGAGCCCGTCAGTCCCGACGGATCCAATAAATATATCAATAAATCTCTCCCTTTTTATGAAGGGGACAGGGCGAGATTTCATTGTCAAAGCAAGGGAAATCCTTATTTTCTTTTTTTCTTTCCCTTTGGTCGGAGAAAGACATATGCGGTTTGGATTAGTACACTTATTGGTAGCATTATAGTCAGTATTCTAAGAAATGCTGGCTTTTTCGATTGTCCCCGATGCATGTAATATAATCGAGTACTATACCTTTTGAGGCGTGCATACACAAAGGGAATTCCTTTCTTGTCCAATACAAAATTGAATATAAGAAAATACTCTCAAGAAAAAACAAAAAAAAAAACAATTTATTTTTCTGGCTACGGATTTCATGGAATCTCACTTACTAGTTTGAAGGGGAAAAATGGATTTCAGGCAAATTGCACACTGAGCTTTTGGTATAGGTGTCCGGGCTAATCTACAAAAAGGAGAAGGACAGATCAACCAAAGATCCACTCCTCTTAGAACGGGAATGAATCATTTTCTGTTTTTAATTTTGTTTTAAGGCCCCATCGAAGAAAGAACAAATCGGAAAATAGTAAATTTGATGAATATTCATTTTATACGATCTCATCTTTATCACAATTCTTTGTCTTCCAAGTCAAAAAGGGTTTAGAACGAAACTCTTTTCTTTTTCCATTTAGCTTTTATTGTTTGTTTGGGTTTGTAACTGTATGACCACTGGAAGTGGAAGAGCTATTTGATGAGACTTCATCAGATGATTGTACAAGAAGGAACTAGATAGATTAGAGAGAAAAAAAGACAGATGATAAAAAAATGATAATGATAAATAAATAAAGGAATTTTGGATTGGGTCAGGAATCCGAGTTTGGGGCAGTATGGATAAAAGAACTTCCTATGTTATACTATTCAATTCTCGACGACGAATTGATTTGATAGTTCAGATATTGTTATTCATGATATTGATCCGAATTCAAGATCATCGAGGTAATATTCATTCATTGAATTTACAGGCCAAAGATTTATCATCTCTGTAAGTTAAATCCGAGTTATTGCGAAGTAAAAAACCGATGAGATTATGGAAGTAAATATTCTTGCATTTATTGCTACTGCACTATTTATTCTAGTTCCTACCGCTTTTCTACTTATCATTTACGTAAAACAGTCAGTCAAAACGATTAATTATTAACTAATTTGAATGAAACTTGACTTCTGGGTTCTTAGCCAAAATTGACGAAATAAAATGAAAAAGATTCCAATTTCATGTCTTAAATGAAATGAGTGGACTAGAATCGGCAGTATTCTAATAGATAGTATGGTAGAAAGATTCATCTATTTCTTTCTACCATACTATTTATTAGAATAGATTGTAGTTATAAAGCTGCCCCTGGAATAAAATAAAGATAGAGGCTGCATTTGATATGGATCTATAGATCAATCTACAATATTATCTTGATATATGTGAATATCAATTTTCATATATGGGATTATAGCATCCAATTCCATTTATTGCTATATCTATTTGTTCTGATCAATCTGAATTGCCTATATGTCTTATAGTTTGAATTACTATATTTTTGATTTCCAATTATGAATCTCGGTATCTGTGAAAGAATCAAATCAATGAAGGAAGAAGCATTACATATAGGCCTATTCAAAAAATCACATGTGTCTTGTTTTTGAACATTCCCAGAAGTAGTGAGTAAACCATTGACGGTAGTTACACGGGCATCGAAAAGGAAGAGTAAACCTCACTGATTTTTAACGCCTGAACCACGATATGAAATTAGTCGATAAAGTCTAAATCCAATTTCAAAAATTCGAAAGCGGTAAATGCGCAATATAGCGACTCACCTGACGATCTTCTTCTGCATAGTATCTCGTTAGACAACCACTATGTTTATATCCTTTCTTTCTCATACAAAGTGCGTATACATAACAAAAACCACTTCTTCTTTGAACAGTAAAGAGAGAAACAAATAAAAAAGAGGTCCGGCCCTCTCAGTATCACCTAGTAAGATAAGAGGCCGTTGATTGGAATAGAAAATTTAGGAAGAATTAGGTTCGAATAAATTTCCTGGGATCCTCTTCCTTTCGAACGCTACAAACACAGTGGAATCGTTGAAACTTTCTTTGATTGAAAGGGATATTCCTATAATACATTACTCCAGTAGAGTCAATGGAATTTCAAAATGAAGATATTTTTATTTTGTTCAAAACGTGTTGCAGAACGATCTAGAAAGCAATTGCCATTAGTACAGTTTGCTTCCTTAACTCACTTAGTAGGACCCCTAGAGTCACTCCTTCCCCACACTACAGTGAAAGGAAAAAGTAAAGACTACCATTAAAGCAGCCCAAGCAAGACTTACTATATCCCTTATGAATTATGTCCCTATCTCTATAAATATAAAGGAAGTGCTCCATTATTCCTCACTCATAATAGTGGAATCAATGGCGCAGAGTCAAAAAAAAAAAAGAACGAAGACTATTAATAAACCAATCCAATAAATTCGCTATTTTAGAAATTCCTATATGATTTCTAATCAGGGAAAGATTAAACACAAGCAAAATCCGCAGCCATCTCAGGAATGTTACTAATGGAACATGTAGGAATAATAGGTCCTATTCTTTTTGTTGACCTCATTTCAGTGATTGGATGGCAGGCACTCAGAGATTTTCGTGAGTTCCTCGTATATAATAAAGTATCTTCCGCCCCCTTCACAACTATTTAGATTTCTATCGGGCTCTCCAATCTAATCAAAGAGTCCAGTCATTATACAATGCATTAATAATCTAAAATTTTGATTTGTAGTAGAAGGTAATTGCGAAGTCTTGATAGCCCCTCTAGCATTCGAATATTTCCTTGAAGCCTAAGCTAAATATGCAATGCAAGGATATTTACAATTTTAGAAAAACCCCAGACCAGATGTTTAAAATCAAACAAGTATCAACAGTCTGCTTTCTCTGCTTCTGCTGGGGAATCATTCGGCAAGTTATATCAACAGAAGAAAAGAGATTTCTAGTTTTGTTGATCCAGGCGACACCAGTTTGAGCTTGGGAAAAAGGTTTGCAGTCCTCTGCCTTACCACTCGGCCATGTCGCCAAATGCTACAAATACAAAATAGATGAAAACTTTCCCGGATTACTGAACTGCTTTTATTGTACTTGCACCTTGAGTTCTGTTTTCCTGACTTTTTCCTAAAAGTCAAGGAAATCCTAATCCTTCTTCCCTTTTGATTGGGTTTGATTCATTCTTTCAATTTCGATTGAGTCTATCTCAAAATTCATAATGTTCAAAACTTTCCTCTTACCTTTCTATTGAAAAATCAAATGTGGATTTCAGTCATAAAATCCAAAATTCAACTTTATGAAAATAGGAACCATTAACTATTGACTTAGAATGCATGAATAGTTCTTGGATTTGAATCTCCAAATTTTGTTTTCCTAATACATAAGAAAACACAACTTGATATATAACTAATCAGTATGGATTTTTTCAATCAAAAAATCCTTCACCAATTTAAATTATTAATTATAACAACAATTATGAGTATGTAAACCCCAAGAAATTGTTGGAGCAATTATATATTATTTTTATATGTTCCGATATAGAATTATCAGATATCAGAGAAAAGTATCATACTTCAATTTTCATTTTGAATAGAAAATTTCAATTCTGTTTTCGTAGAGCACAACCTGTATTGTCCCGAATAGAACATAGAACGACAATAAAACAATAAAAGAGAAGAAAGACGGATATTATAGATATCTCCACACGTGTTTAAGCCATACAAACCTTCTTTTCTTATACACTTCACAATCGTATTCTACTCAAAAATCCGTAAACAAAGTCTCTCTCGTCTCTGCGAATCATTTTTTGACCAACGAAATCCATAACATAAAGGGTTTTAATGCCCAAAAAAAATGCGATTCTAATTCTATATATTCTTTCTGATTTTTATGCCTTTATCTCAGCGAAAAGATCAAATGTCCAATCCATTTATTTTCTGGTATTCAAGCGGAGTTTGGAATATGTATTATCATAATAATGGTAGAAATGGAATCATTTTTGTTTTGATATTCTATACGAAATCCTATAACTTAATTAATAAGTTTAAGTAAGTCTGTTTCTAGGGATGTTTTATCAATTTCTTTCTACATTTGTATCTGTTGAAAATTCCAATAAATTCCAATTCAATTTAAGTAGAAAATTCTCTTTCTTCCTCCGTTCATACATTATTTCATACATTGTTGTAGATATGGAGTTGGGTAAAATTTCATGTGATTCGGTAAACAAAATAGAAATGCCATCATTGCTGAATCATTTATCTAATCTATCTAATTAGATGAAGAATGAACCAACAGTGGTATTTTTGATAAATGGGAAATTAAAAATGCTCAGGGATGGAAATGAGGGAATATCTACAATACCTGGATTTAATCAGATACAAGTTGAAGGATTTTGTAGGTGCATTGATCAAGGTTTGACGGAAGAACTTTATAAGTTTCCAAAATTGAAGATACAGATCAAGAAATTGAATTTCAATTATTTGTGGAAACATATCAATTGGTCGAACCCTTGATAAAGAAAAGAGATGCTGTGTATGAATCACTCACATATTCTTCTGAATTATATCCATAGTTAATTTGGAAAAAACAGTAAGGGATATGCAAGAACAAACAATTTTAATCAAACATTCCTCCTAATAGAATTCCCTGGGAACTTCTATAGTCAATGGAATATATAGGATTGTGATCAATCAAATATTGCAAAGTCACGGTATTTATTACCGATCAGGGTGGACCATAACGGAATTTCGGTCTATACCGGCACCATAATATCAGATTGGGGAGGAAGATCAGAATTAGAAATTAGGCTAGAAAAGCAAGGATATGGGCTCGTGTAAGTAGGAAACAAAAATATATTCTAGTTCTATCATCAGCTATGGGTTTGAATCTAAGAGAAATTCTAGCGAATGTTGCTATCCTGAAATTTTTGTCTTTTCTGAGTGATAAGGAGAAAAAAAAATTGGGTCAAAAGAAAATGCCATTTTGGAGTTTATCAACAATTTGCTTGTGTAGGTGGCGATCCGGTATTTTCTGAATCCTTATGAGAATTACAAAGAAATTCTTTCACCAAAGATGTGAATTAGGAAGGATTGGTCGACGAAATATGAACCGAAGACTGAACCTTGATACCCCAGAACAATACATTTTTGTTACCACGAGATATATTGGCAGCCGCCGATCATTTGATTGGGCTGAAATTTGGAATGGGTGCATGACATTGGATATTTTGAAAAATAAGCGTATTCGTTCTGTAGATCTTTTACAAGATCAATTCGGATTAGCTCTGGTTCGTTTAGAAAATGTGGTTCGGGGACTATATGTGAGCAATTCGGCATAAATTGATACCGACACCTCAGAATTTGGTAACCTCAACTCCATTAACAACTACTTATGAATCCTATTTCGGTTTTACCCATTATCTCAAGTTTTGGATCGAACTAATCCATTGACACAAATAGTTCATAGGAGAAAATTACTGAGATATTTGGGCGGGGAGGACTGACAGGTCGCACTGCTAGTTTTTCGGATACGAGATATCCATCCTGATCGCTATGGACATGTTGCCCAATTGACATCTGAAGGAGATCAATGTTGGACTTATTGGATCCTTAGCAATTCATGCGGATTGGTCATTGGGGATCTCTAGAAGCCCTTTTTATGAAATTTCTGAGAGGTCAACCGGGGTACGGATGCTTTATTTATCACCAGGTAGAGATAGATACTATGGTAGCGGCAGGAAATTCTTAGCACCAAATCAGGATATTCAGGAAGAACAGGTTTGTTCCAGCTCGATACCGTCAAGAATTCTTGACTATTGCATGGGAACAGGTTCATCTTCGAAGTATTTTTCCTTTCAATATTTTTTTCTATTGGAGCTTCCTCATTCCTTTTATCTAACATAATGATGCGAATCGACTTTAATGAGTTCTAATATGCAACCTCAAGCAGTTCCTCTTTCTCGCTCCGAAATGCATTGTTGGAACTGGGTTGGAACGACAAGCAGCTCTAGATTCGGGGGCTCTTGCTATAGCCAGACGCGAGGGAAGGGTCGTTT